TTTTTCCAAAACCCAAACAATCTTCATTCAATCAACCATTTGATAAGATGATTAACAATATCAACAAGAACATTATGCAAAGGGTCGATAAGATGATTGTTCAAGATGCCAGAAATAGTAGAAATAGTAGAAGTCAGCACCTTAAGTTTGATGTGCACTGAATTGATATAAATTATATACACTAATGTAGACATGGCCATTTCCCAGTTCCGGGCCGAGGGCCCTAAACTGACCCGAACATATGCACGGGTCAGTTCAATGAACCGGTAAAAGTGTCGAACCGTCAATTCCAGTACAGAACCGGTTAAACTACGAACTCAGTTCGAGTCCCGCTGACCACGGGCCGGTTCCATGTCGAACTGGCGGTCGGTCCCCAGCCCGTGGCCATGTCTGCATTAATGCCATCTTTGGGTACCAAAATGAATTTTTGCCCAATAATGGTACCAACCAATTATTAAATACAAACGCCAATATGTTTCCCTATTACAAAGCCCCGGCGCCAAACGAAATTGAAACATGCTTTGTTTGGACCCGTTGGCTGCTCACGCGTATAATTGCTTTTATTTTATAAGCTGCCAGGTCATAAAGTATTCCAGCCAGCTCACTTACAGATCACACCTTCTCTGCATGGAAACCACACCTCAAAGCATCATAAGTATCTATATATGTGTGTGTTAGGGACCCCAAGATGAGGATCACAAGTCACAATTCACAACCAAACTTCAAAAACACAACAAAGTACATCTTTTTACAAAAAAAACTAAGAAAAAAAAAAATAATGGCGGCCTTCTTTTCGAATTTCGTTATGGTCTCGATTTTCGCGGTCTTGGCTTGTTTCGTCGTGCCATCCTTGGGCAATTTCTATAGAGATGCGGATATTACGTGGGGGGATGGTCGTGCCAAGATACTCGAAGGCGGGCGTGGACTTTCTTTGTCGCTCGACCGAAACTCGGGCTCGGGTTTCCAATCCAAAAACGAGTACTTGTTCGGGAGGTTCGACATGCAGCTCAAACTCGTACCTGGAAACTCGGCTGGCACTGTCACCACATTCTTCGTAAGTGTTGGCTCGATTATTTTGGTCGTATATTCGAATTGTTATGTGTTCGTAAATCTTATGTTTTTTCTTTCTTTCATTCTTTCTTGTGCAGTTGTCGTCTCAAGGTGAAGGGCACGACGAGATAGACTTTGAGTTTCTCGGGAACTCGAGCGGTGAGCCTTACACGGTGCACACGAATGTGTACTCAAAGGGAAAAGGTGACAAGGAACAACAATTCCACCTTTGGTTCGACCCAACTGCCGCATTCCACACATACTCGATCGTTTGGAATCCTCGGCGCATCTTGTACGTGTTAATTTATATACTAATTTTTTATAGACCGTCTCCAACAGAACGGAAAAAACCCAAAAATTGAGGGAGAAACTCTCCAATAGATATGCTAACTCAAACTCAAAATGAGTTTTTGAGTTTCTCTCTCCTCCTCTTGCAGAGGCAAATTTGCGTTTCTAAAAGTGAATATGACGAGAATATTTTGTTGGATTGGAGAATGAGTTCATCGGTTGGAGAATAATTAGTGTTTGATGTGACAATTAGTGCAAAATAAATTTAAAAATAGGTTTTTCGGTTAGAGAGGACATAATTTTCCTTTTTCGCCTAACTTTTTTGTACTTACTAATGAACAAAATATATTTTCAGATTCTTGGTGGACAATAGTCCCATTCGAGTTTTCAACAACCACGAGTCGAGTGGTGTGCCGTTCCCAAACACCAAGAGGATGAGAGTGTACTGCAGTTTGTGGAATGCAGACGAGTGGGCAACTCAAGGCGGTCGGGTCAAGACAGACTGGACAAAGGCTCCTTTTGTGGCATACTACAGAAATTTCAGGATTGAAAACGGCCCACAGTCTCAGAATCTAGAGCTTGATGCTAAGGGAAGAAATAGACTCAGATGGGTTCAACAGAGGCATATGGTCTATAATTATTGTGCCGATAATCGAAGGTTTCCTCAAGGAACATCTATCGAGTGCAAACGCTCAAGGTTCTAAGCCTCAGACAAGACGGAGTTTATTTTCACGAATTCATCAATGTGTTCTTGTTTAATTTGTTTTGTGTATGTTTCAGCTTCCTTATTCATTTATCATTATTTGATGTAAATGTTGAAGATAAAAATTGTCAGAATAAATGAGGGATTCTAAGTTATTAATTGCAATTGCTGCCAACATTTTGTTTGTAATGGTAAAACTTACTAAGGTTGATTTAGTCATCAGAGCAAACACATGAACCAGAAACACAATGTGGTAAAGAAAACATATTATTGCCTTACACATGGACTCAAGAGAAGCAAACAGCAAATAGATTGATCATAGAAGCAAATTCGCCATTCTTGAATAGTGGAATACGAGATATGGCGCATGACGATTATTGTCAAAACTAAACTGAATTGACTAGCAAACATCAGAAATTCTGAAAGCCGAACGCATAAGAAGATACGGAATGGAAAACACATAGCATAGAAAGTAGAGTAAATACGGAGGCCTAATTTCAGCATTAACATTAAATAAATAGTGATTGCCATTTGAATTGGGTAGAACATTAGCAGACAAAATGACACCCAACAGAAATATTTAAAAAGCAGTCAAACTACACAAGCAAGGAATTCTGCAAGCTCTCATCATCTTGTATAATGAAATGTAGCTCAGGAAAAGTTGCCCATATAATATAAAATTGAAGTAAAAATTCTTAAAGATTGCTACATCAAGCACAAGTAAACAAAGAACAAGATCTCTTAAGAAACAAAACACAAGCACAGCTCTTGTTACCAAAATTTATATGGAGCAACAAATGCACGAGAGAGCAGTTGATCTCAACAAAAATTCCTCCTCAGCTCTCAGCGAAGTTCTGATTCTGATCATTATGAGGACATCTTTTTCTTGTGTTTCACTCCCTTCACCTTGGCAATCTTTTCAACCGACTTTTTCTCAATCTCAATTTTCTTCTTCTTCCCCTTCTTTCCAGATGATTCATCTTTCTTCGGTTTCCCTCTACCACTTCTCTCAGCTTTTGCCTCTTTCTTCACCGACTTTTCTTTCAAAGCTTTAGTTCTATTTAGCTGCTCCAAAGCTGCTTGAACAATCTCATCTTCCTCAGTCTTCTTATCATCATCAGTATCACCCTCTTCATAGTCACCTTCCTCCATTAAATCTCCTTCTGTACCATAACCCTCACTCCCCACTCGCTCACTTTCATTCACACCACCATCACTCTCCATATCCTCACCAACATCCATATAATGAACTTCATGAATTCTCCCCTTCTTTTTCTTCCCAACTTTACCCTCTTTCCTCCCACTCATTTCCTTAGTCTCACCCTCATTCTCGCTATCTTTTGCACGTTCGCCCTCTCTATCACTCTCCTTCAGACACTCGATTTTCAGCTTCACATCCGGCATGGCCTGGTAGATGGGCAGAGCCACCGAGTCTGAAAACTTCAGATGCAAACTCCTCACGCCATCCCATTTTTTCGGCACCTTCTGAACAGCCCCTTGAACTGCATCCAACACATTATCCACAATCTCTTCCTTCTCCATGGCCACCTTGCTGACCTTCATCACGCAGCAAGTCCCAGTCCTCATATACAAAAGGGCACTACCCAAAGCCCTTTCCACCTGCAACTTCAGATTCTTCTTGCCCATATCCACCCCGAGGGGCAGCTTCTTTTTCTTGAAGAACTTCTTTCCAATCAGCTTGGGCAGCAAATGTACCACCCTCTTGTCGACCAGGAACAAGTCGTAGCTGTCACAAAGCTTCCTCTTTGCTTCGTAGGGTTTGTAGTTCGACTTGAGCTTCGAAACCCTAATGACTTTGGAAATGGGAATGTCCTGGGCCTTGATGAGCTTCTTGATTTGGTCCGGGGGAGGCGTCGGCGACTTAGGTCTGTCGTCGATTATCAGGCAGAGCTGCGAAGCAGCGTCGAGAATCGGATGAGGGAGGGGGATTCTGAAGGGGATCGTGCGAGGGTTTGAGGGGATTTTCTTGAGGGTGAGGTTCAGATAGATGTAATCGTCTTCCGGCAGGAGCTGAAGCTTGTCGGTGGATGATTGGGCGGCGGATTTGAATTTCAAAAGGGCGCTCACGGCTGAATCTACGGTGGATCTTTGGAGCCGCGAAGCGGCGGCGAGAGGTTCTGCTATGGAAGCCATGGGAGCAAGGAAGAGATGGAATTGAGGTTTTCGGTGGGGTTTTAATTTTATTATGAAATGAAATGTCAAAGGGTTGCATTATCAAATTACAGGTCCATGACAGTTCCACTATTGGGCCGGTCAGTATACCATCTATTAAAAATTCGAATTTTTACTTCTTGTTTACAACATAGGATGTGTTTTTTTTCCAAATAATACAGTGTTTACATATGTGGATTAAATAGAAATTTCAAATTTAGCAATTAGGGTTCATTAAGCAATTAGGGTTCATTAAGCAACAATAGATGACAGTTTTTTTCCCGACTTCCTGGTGTGGACCCTGTAACTCTCGATTTGGATCTCGTCGTCGTCTTCCCGGTATCAATCAATTCCTCTTTGGGTCCTGCTATCTACGCTTTCTCATTTGGCACTATCGGTAGTACACTCATGGCAAAATAAATATATACATGTCAAAAGTCTGCAAAATGATATGTACTCAAACCCACGACCACCAGCTCCGCTCACTCCTCGGGACCGACCCTGTGACTTGAAAAATATAATATAGTGGGGGCGTGAGCACTAAAAGCCACTGTTCTCCACAGTAACTCATGCTGAAATAAAACATTAATAATAATTGCAATATCATGATCAAAAGCATATATATAATCTGTGTTTATGTCATGTCTGCGACTGACTGGTCAACAGGATAAACTAGACCAGATACTGAATCTGCCGGCTATAATAAACTCCGCCAGAACCATGTGCACATCTTAGTGGACAGATCAGCCACTAGAACTCAGAATGGATTTAGGGCACCTGAACTGACCACCATTCTAAGTGGAACTGGTATATTATAATTCAACCTAAGAGGCTTTTAAGACATTTGCCAAGCATTCTAGGGACACAAAGGTAATTTTAACTCAGGAAATATGATAGGATAAAAATATTCCAAGTCCAAGCCGGGACAAAATTATCAAGCATAACTTGATTAGTTGGTGGGCCACTACATGCCACGTACATCAAGTCCTACGTGCTATCAGTGATAGTAAACGCCGAATAAGGTCAATTAACTAACAATATCATGCCCTATCCAGCTTAGCAAAAGGGGCCGGTGGAGTAATAACGACTAATGAAAAATGGTAAGGCTATTCACACCTGTTAGCATACCTTAATCTCCACGTCAGCATGAACGTTTGGTCGTCTCTCCACGTCAGATTTAAAGACCAGAGATATTATCTCTCAGCTGAACTAACATGCAGTATCATGCATGGACTGTTCTACCCTTAAAAGCATCTTAGCATTTATTGTTTTTTGTCCTCTTGCTTGTGTGGTTTATTCCTTTGTTTTAGCTTCTGTACGTTTTGATCTTATCCTTGGAGGTTGTGTTAGGTTATCAGAGGGTTAGTATATAAAGATGTATAGTCTTTGTTGACACACAAGAAATACAGACTGCACATTTACTTGTTCAAGCAAGAACCCTAATTTAGCTAAGCTTTCTTCTCGATCCTTTCAATATGATTTTGTTTGATTCCAACATGGTATCAGAGCAGGGATAACTTGCTTTGAACCTTGTTTAAATAATGGCTACGTCAACCAATTCTTCCCCACCAAATTTTGGCCAAAACCAGATCTCAGCACCTACCCCAATACAGCTTCACAACCAGTTAATATCCATCAAGCTTACTGATGAAAATCACCTCATATGGAGGCAGCAGGTTCTCACCACTGTTAGAGGACATGGCCTTGAAGGTTTCCTAGATGGATCGAGCCAGCCACCCACCAGATTCATTCCAGGAGCAGAAGAAGGACTTCTTCAAGTGAACCCAGATTACACAAGCTGGGAAAGACAAGATCAATTGTTGGCATCATGGCTCCTTTCATCACTTTCAGAGCCTGTTCTAATTTTAGTGGTTGGCATGTACAGCTCATCCCAGATCTGGAAATGTTTAGAGTCAAGTTTCTCCACACAGTCAAAGGCTAGGACTATGCACTACAGGATACAACTGCAAAACCTTAAGAAAGGCAGCATGAGCATAAGGGAATATGTCAACAAAGTGAAAGTGTGCTGTGATACCTTGGCTGCTGGAGGACACATTGTCACAGAACAAGATCAGATAATGCACATCCTTAGTGGGCTGAGCTCAGAGTATGATGCTGTGGTTGTGAGCATCAATGCAAGGCCTGGGGAACTCACTATGGTGGATGTCATGTCTTTGCTCTTCACCTATGAAAGCAGGCTCCAAGCTGCAGGCCTAGCCAATGAGAGCAACACCTTACCCTCAGCAAACCTCTCAGTTCAAGCCAACAAGCCATCTCACAACACATATCCCTCAAGGGGTAGAGGGAACACACAAGGCTACAGAGGCAGAGGTAGATCAGGAAGAGGAAGGGGTGGCAGAAACTACAACAAGGTTCAATGCCAAATATGTGGTTACACCAACCACACTGCAGACAAGTGCTACAACCGTTTCAACCCTGATTTTGTGACTCAGTCATCTCAGCAGAGACAGTACAATGATGGCAAGGGTGTGAGCCAATCCTCAGTAATGTTTGCATCCAAAGAAAACAACAGTGAAGGTGACTGGTTCCCTGATTCTGGTGCTACTCACCATGTCACCAATGACTTTGCAAATCTGAGTGTGGCCTCTGACTATGGTGGACCCAACAAGTTGCAGATTGGAAATGGAGCAGGCCTAGATATCTCTCATGTTGGTAAGGCAATGTTTACTGGTTCTGAAAATTCCCTTTCATCACAACATACCTTTAAACTCAAAAACCTGTTACATGTTCCTCATATAGCCAAAAATCTCATTAGTGTTGCTCAGTTTGCTAAAGATAATAATGTGTTCTTTGAATTCTTTCCCACCTTTTGTGTTGTGAAGGACCAAGCTACAGGAGTACCTCTTCTCAAAGGGATTCATAGAGATGGCTTATATGTCTTCAAGATGAATAGGATACCAAACAAGAGTGAAGAAAGAGAGAGTTCTGTTGGTAGTAGAAAAAGATTTTTAGGAGGAGAAGTTTATTTATCTAGTTCAGTGAAGTCTTTAGATGTTTGGCATAGGAGATTGGGTCATCCCTCTTTTGATGTAACTCAGAAAGCTCTCAAACTTTGTAATCTGCCTTATGCCAGTAATAAAATTTCCCTTTGTTCAGATTGTGCCCAAGCAAAATCTCACAGATTGCCCTTTTATGCATCTAATCATACATCAAAGTCTCCTCTTGAACTTGTGCACACTGACCTTTGGGGGCCTGCACCCTTAAAGTCCACCACAGGATCCTTATACTATGTTGCCTTTGTTGATGACTTTTCAAAGTTCACATGGATATATTTTCTTAAACATAAATCAGATACACTGCAGGCATTCACTCATTTCCTTAATCTTGTTGAAAACCAGTTGAACTTTAAGATTAAAGCTGTCCAAAGTGATGGTGGGACTGAGTTCAAGCCATTGTCCAAACTTTTTTCAGAAAAAGGCATAGTTCATAGGGTATCCTGCCCTTACACTCCCCAACAAAATGGGTTAGTGGAAAGAAAACACAGACAGGTTGTGGAGGTGGCATTGAGTCTTTTCTCTCATTCTAAAGTGCCTAAGAAATATTGGGAAGAAACCTTTTCCACAGCTATCTACCTAATAAACAGAATTCCCAATAAAACCATCAACTTTGTTACCCCATTTTCAAAGCTTTATGGCCACACTCCCAGTTACAAACACTTAAAAATTTTTGGATGTGCTTGTTATCCTCACCTAAGAGATTATGTGACCAACAAGTTGGAATTGAGGTCTAAGTTAGGAACTTTCTTAGGATATAGTTCCCAGTACAAGGGGTACAAAGTCCTGTTGCCAACTGGAAAGATCATCATTTCCAGAGATATTGTTTTTAATGAAGAGCATTTTCCTTTCCATAAAAATGAGCATATTGAGCAACCTAATGATGATAACACAATGCATTTCATTCCTGATATTCACCCATCACAAACATCATTATCCATACCCACTGAAACAATTGGTTTTCCACTTCAACATCCAACCAATCTGCCCCCCTCCATCTCTTCAAGCCCACCTCAATCCCCACATAACAGTTCCCAGTTTTCCACTCCCAGTTCAAGTTCACATTCACCTCATACATCACCTCCTGTTTCCCCTCATATTCACTCTCATGACTCACCTCCTGTTTCCCTTCAGTCCTCACCACCCTCTCATGCTACACCAAATAACAGCCCAAACCTCCACTCCTCACCACAGATTCTTCCCACACAGCCACCTTTCCTTACAAATCAACACCCTATGCAAACTAGAGCCAAAAAAGGGATTTTCAGACCTAAAGCATATGTTACCAGCACTGAGCTTCATGTCCCTACCACAGCTCAAGAAGCTCTAACCATTCATTGTTGGAAAAATGCTATGGAATCTGAATATAATGCTTTACTCATGAACAAGACCTGGGATATCCAACCTTTGCCACCAGGTAAAGTTCCCATTGGCTGCAAATGGGTATTCAAGACCAAACAAAATGCTGATGGCTCAATTTCTAGACACAAGGCAAGGCTTGTGGCAAAGGGCTACACTCAGGTTGCAGGTATAGATTTTACTGATGTCTTTAGTCCAGTGATAAAGCCAGTAACCATTAGGCTGGTTCTCACCATAGCATTGCACAAAGGGTGGCACATTAAGCAACTGGATGTTGAAAATGCTTTTTTGCATGGCACTCTTGATCCCAACACAGAAATTTTCATGGAGCAACCACCTGGGTTTGAAACATCACCTTCTGTTGGTTTTGCTTGCAAGCTAAACAAGGCCATCTATGGTCTTAAACAAGCCTCCAAAACTTGGTTTGATAAACTTAACACTGTACTCTCTTCTTTGGGTTTTAAGTCATCTTTGGCTGATGCTTCTTTGTTTATAAAAAGGACCCCTACATGCCTCATCTACATCCTTGTTTATGTAGATGACATGATCATCCCATGTAGCTGCCTCACAGAAATCAGCAATATCATTAATTCCTTATCTACAGCAGTCCCACTTAAGGATTTAGGGGCCCTGCACCATTTTCTTGGGATTGAAGTCCATTACACTCCCACTGGAATGCTTTTATCTCAGGAGAACTATGCTCATCAACTGCTCATCAAAGCAAAAATGGAAACATCAAAGGGCTTGTCTAATCCTATGGTCTCCTCACCATCTTTATCCAAATTTGATGGCAGCCCCTTTCCTGATGGCAAACTCTACAGAGCTCTTATCGGCAGCCTCCAATATCTCACAATCACAAGGCCTGACATAACCTTTGCGGTCAATAAACTAAGCCAATTTATGCAATCACCGCTAGACACTCACTGGAAAGCCATGAAACGGATCCTGAGATATGTCAATGGCACCATATCCTTTGGTCTTCATCTTTTCAAATCCCCTCATCTTCATATCTCGGCTTTCTCTGACTCTGATTGGGCCTCGGATCCTGATGATCGCAAGTCCACTTCTGGCCACTGTGTGTTTGTTGGAGACAACCTGGTCTCTTGGAGTTCAAAGAAACAGCAGACCGTCTCTAGAAGCAGTACAGAGGCCGAGTATCGGAGTCTTGGCCACGCTGTTTCAGATGTCCTCTGGATCAAGACTTTACTCAGTGAGCTGTGTGTTGCTAATGTTCCTGCTCCAAACATCTGGGTTGACAACTTGGGAGCAGTTTTCATGTCTTGCAACCCGGTGATACAAGGTCGCACTAAACATATTGAAGTCGATCTTCACTTCATCCGTGAGAAGGTTCAAAACAAATCTATCTCCATCCTTCATGTCCCTGCACTTGATCAGAAAGCCGACATTCTTACCAAGCCTTTAACTGGACAATTCTTCCTTCGCATGAGAAATCACCTCAATGTTGCTTCTCTTGGCTCACTTGAATTGAGGGGGGATGTTAGCATACCTTAATCTCCACGTCAGCATGAAAGTTTGGTCGTCTCTCCACGTCATATTTAAAGACCAGAGATATTATCTCTCAGCTGAACTAACATGCAGTATCATGCATGGACTGTTCTACCCTTAAAAGCATCTTAGCATTTATTGTTTTTTGTCCTCTTGCTTGTGTGGTTTATTCCTTTGTTTTAGCTTCTGTACGTTTTGATCTTATCCTTGGAGGTTGTGTTAGGTTATCAGAGGGTTAGTATATAAAGATGTATAGTCTTTGTTGACACACAAGAAATACAGACTGCACATTTACTTGTTCAAGCAAGAACCCTAATTTAGCTAAGCTTTCTTCTCGATCCTTTCAATATGATTTTGTTTGATTC